CAGCTGCTAGTTTGACCGCCATTGGAAATTTGTTGGCAACTTGGTTTGTCCTATTTATGGTTTTTGCCATCGCTATGACTCAAACTTTTGGACTCACTCGATTTGGTGAACAAGAAACCGACAATCTCAACATGCGAACAGTACCGAAAACGCTTTTGATGCTATTTCGTATGTCTTGTGGAGAGGGTTGGAATCAAATCATGGAAGATTATGCGACCATCACACCTCCATTCTGTACTAAAGGTGACGATTTTTTTGAAAGCGACTGCGGAAGCCCTACATGGGCTCGAGTATTGTTTATTTCGTGGAACATTGTGAGCATGTATATCTTCACTAGTTTATTTGTGTCACTCATCTACGAGAGTTTCAGTTATGTCTTCCAACGATCCAATGGCTTATCTAAAGTGAGTCGTGATGAGATCAGACGCTTCAAAGAGGCTTGGGCCACGTTAGATCCGGATGGTACAGGATTTATCGAAAAGGAACATTTCCCAAGACTTCTGGGTGAACTCTCTGGTGTCTTTGAGATGCGTGTATATTCACATGAAGATTCGGTTCGCAGAATTCTCGAAGATATACAAACGGAACCAACCAGTGGCAGAATGAATTCTATCTCAAGCCCTAGCGCTTCTAATGGTATTGATTTGAAGAGGTTGAATGAAAGAATTTCTCAAATTGATGCCGGTAGAGTCAGAAGAGATAGAGCAAGATTTAATCTTTTCTATGAAGAGGTTTTAGTCTCGGCAGATCCTGATCGGGGTATTTCTTTCACGACAGTATTGATGGTCTTGGCTCATTATAATGTTATTAGTGATAATAAGAGCTTGAAGTAAGTTATTTGGGTGATGTTGTGGTGCTTTAGCTAATGATTAATATAGACTTGAAGAATTTTTACGTCGCCGCGCGCGTCTTCAAAGAGTGGAAGAAGAAGTCCGAAGACGGATAGTGGTTGGTTTCTTCGATACTATGTAAGTTTTGGAAGTTTTATTCGCGCATATTTCAATTTACTAACGAACACAGGTACTGGTCCCGAAGATTCCGTAAGCACATGGAAAGGAAAAGGTCTGGCCGAATGACGGATATTCCTCAATTGGGTCCAGAAGTTTACGTCGACGACGAAGATTCATCTACCCAGAAACATAAATCTACGGCTTCAGGAAGCGGAGCTTTACTTTCACCAACAGATATTACGGATTCGAGAAATTCGTTTATTACGCATGGACTTGATGGGGCACCACTTAGACAGAGAAGAGGAACGGATGCAGATATTGGACTGGGTTTAAATACTTCATTCCCTTCAGTAAGCTCTGCAGTGAGTCCAACTTTGAGTCCGCTGAAAGCGCATGGGTCGCATGGATCGGCATTTTCGTTTGAAGGAGTGGGTGGAGGAGCTGGTGATGGGAGCGCAATTAATAGTACGGCGAGTAGTAGGAGGAATAGTGCGGTCTCTGCGGAGAATGTCTTGGAGGTGTTGGATAATTCGGCGTGGGGAGAGAGTATTAGGAGGAGTTTTACTATGAGGAGAAGTAGTAAGGGTGCGAAGTAGGGGTTGAGTGGGGTATGCATATATCAGTGAGGAGAGGAGAATACATATATTGTGAAGGATTGTTTATGTGTGGATTTGTGGACTGGGACGAATCAAAAGGAAAAAGAGATGGGTCTAACGTGAGTTAGACATTGGATATAGAGGTACTCTGGTTGGGGATGAGAGGCGTATAGAGAGGGTGGAGTTTTATTGGAATCGGAATAGGAATTGGAGGATAGATGGATTTTGATCTTTCCTCTGTTCACTTTGTTGTAATATGAGGGATTGAGATGAGGATATGTTTCCTTTTTGATTGTATTTGTTTATTAGTGTGGTATAGGAGGGAGGAGAGAGGAAAGGGCAGGGGGAATGGCAAGGAGGGAGGGAATGGATGGATGGAAGGATAGGAAGAAAAATGCAGGTGAGAGGTGGATATATGTTTGCATAGCTTACGGCGTTTAGCGTTTATTTTTTACTTTGCGGTTTGTTTGTCTTTTTGTCACCGTTTTTTTTATGATGAATTTATGGTTGATAGATTGCGGTTGGGGTGAGGGGGAGTAGGTGGATTGGTGATGGGGAGGGAGGGGAGTGAAGTGAGGTAAAGAGAAGTGAGGTGAGAGGAAGGAGTGCGTGAGTGAGTGAGTGGGTATAGAGTGTATTGAAATGCATAGACCGATCGATCGATAGAGAGCTAGATAGATGGGGATGGGGATGGGGATGGGAGTATATAATTTATATGATATACACATACATGTGTGTAAGTAGATGAATATAAGTGATTTGAAGTGAAGTGAATTGATTGATGGAAGTGAGAAAGGAGAAAAGTGAGGTTTTGTAGTGGATTCCTGTTGGTTTTGGTTTTTTGATATTGTGATGTGTTGTATTGTGTTGTGTTGTGTTGTAATGGGATGCGAGGGGATGGGATGCGAGGGGATGGAATGTAAGTACTGGGTTTCAATTTGGTGTTGAGGTTAGGGTTGGGGTTGGGTTAGATTAGATTAGGTTATTTGAGTTATTTGAGTTATTTGAGTTATGTGGGTTATTTGGGTTATTTGAACTAGGTATTGCTGAAAAGAAGGGTTGATAGGATAGGGGGCTTGAGGGCTTGAGGGCTAGAGGGTTTAAGGGTTCTAGGGGTTGACTTGTTAATTAAGTATAATTGATTGATTATAGGTACTGAAATGAGAAGAGTAGGGAATAGTAAAGTGAAGTAAAGGAGAGGAGAGGAGAGGAGAGTAGAATAAAGTAGAATAGAATAGAGTAAAATAAAGTATATAAAAAAGAATAAAAAAGAATAAAAAAGAATAAAAAAGAATAAAAAAGAATAAAAAAGAATAAAATAAGATAAAATAGAATAAAGTAAAATAGAATAAAGTAAAATAGAATAAAGTAAAATAGAATAAAGTAAAATAGAATAAGTAAAATAGGATAGAATAAAGTAAAGTAAAGTAAAATAGAGTAGAGTAAAATAGAATAGAATAGAATAGAATAAAATATAATTATTATATATAGATAATAATTAATCGTTTATATTATATTAAGATTTATTCTTAAAACGAATGAATTTAAATAATTACATTTCAATTTACTATATATATTCATAGAATTCTATTGAATTCTAGTTACAGATTTTTTTAAAAAAAAAGTTTATTTTTAGAATTTTTATTAATTATATTATACAGTTTTGAAACATACGAAGGTCGTAGTCATTTTAAAAGAGATTATAGGCTCTTTTAGAGCATATATACTATAAGGCTCTATAATTCATTAGATTTGATTAGAATCTATAAAAACTAGTCTTCGCTCTACTTGAATTGACTAACGACGCCTATATTCTGAACTTGATTAAACTTTAAATCAATCTTAAAATATAATACCTGAAGCTTATAGACTTGTTAAGCCCAATATAGGCTTTAAATGATTAAAACACAGGCCTTATAGTACTTAATTAGTATACTTCATTATAGACATCTATAGGACTATCTAGTCTCTTTCAAAATGATCGCGACCTTCGTAGTAATTTAGAAATTCCAGAATTAACTAGTAACTTAAGCGAAATTTAAAGAACTTTAATAAGGTTTTATTTCAATTATAAAATACCAATTCTATAATTTATATTAAAACTAAAAAACTAACAAACTAAAAAACTAAAAAACTAAAAAAAAAAGTCTTTATTATATAAATCATTCATTTGAACAGTTTTAATTGAAAAAAATGATTATAAATATTAATAAATCATTATACGAAATGTATTAAGTCGCTGTTTTTTAGTGTAATTAAGACAAGCGATCATTATCTGTGCCCTAGTACTATAGCTTGTATTTTATTCGTGTTATTTTTATAAAGAAGAGAAAACATATATATTTCGACTCATACTTATATCTATGTCTATATACATACTCGACTATTTATCTTAATATCTGTACTAGCTTAACCTCAAAAGAAGAAGTAAAGTTAAAAAAGAAGAGTAATTATTGAAATAGAATAGAATTTTAATTGAGTGTATTTGTCTATTTGTTTAATTGGAGATTATATTAGAGATTGCTTGAATTTACTTACTCGGTAATAGGATAATAGACTGACTTTCGGGTTTCTTTATTGGGAGTCGGGAGATTGTGATGTGATGTGAAGGGAAGAATGAGGTTAGAGTACTGGGGGAGAGGTTTTTTTTTTGGATGTCTTTTTTTCGGTGTTTGGGGAGGAGGGAGATTTGGATCTGGAGTGGATTTGGATTTGGATTGGATTTGGATTGTGCTGGGATTCAAGGGTGTGAGGATTTGAGAGGTGGGGCGGGGGTTCTGATGGAATTTGTAATGTCGGGATTGAGGAAGGGAGTGGAATGAATAGATTGATTAATAGATATATAGATGATAAATGGTAGATGATAGATATAATAAATGAACAAATAGATAAATAATAATTGAATACCTACCTATTTAATATCTGAGTAGCAAAGACAATTAATTCCCTTCATTTCCTTTTTAAAAGAGGAGTTTAATGTTTAATTCTTAATCATGAACATTCAGATTTCAAATTTCAAGCTTTAAGTTTTGAGTTTTAATGTGATGGAGATTTATATTTATATTACATCTATCTAACTATCTACAAGACCCCTTTTTTAGTTTCAAGAGACTACAATGTACTCTTCATGAATACTCTTGTATTGTATTCATATGTTCTTTTCTTTTAAGGGAGTTCCTGATGATGATGAGAAGTAAAATCTCGCTTAATATGCCGGGGTGTGTTTCTTAGCTTTAGATGAAAGGGAGAGGGAGAGAGTGGAGGGGGGTTTGATTTTAGTACATCTTCTTCGACATCTTATCATGTCGTGTCACACTCCGCCCATCATCTACGCTACCAAATTTCTTATCGTCATGTATCAACGACTGAAAGGCGAGACGGAGGGAAAGCGAAGCAAAGCCAAGGCGAAAAACAGCGATACAATGGAATCAGAACTCAGATCATGAACAACCCTTTAAGATACAATCGAGCCTTGCGATCCAGCCAGACACTCCAGTTGATACTCATACTGAAGACGAGATAACGACGACAGAGAAGCTTCTAGTGCCGCATCGGCATCAAACTCGTGTTTTTGAGACCAGGAGGGTGTTGCTTTTGTTTGTGTTTTTTGGGTAGGAGTGGATGGATATACCTCCATATCCGTATCTGTATCTGTATACATATCTCTATCCCTATCCATCATGGTCCCAAAATCCGGATACTCCGCCTCCGCACGCGGCATGCGCAACTTGAATTTCTGTTGAGGTTTCTCATCGTCGTAGAGAGAATCTTCCATGTCGAGTGAGGATCGAGCGTCTTCGTTATCGTCATTTGCCTTGTTGTTGGGATAGCAATATTGATATGTGTTCCCAATTCCATTTTCGGGCATGATGGTGAGTGAATTTCCAGGTGTAGCGTCGGGATTTGTTCTGGGCTTGGGTCGCATGTGCATGTATGCGAAATCGCTTTCTTGTAGTGGTTTTCTGGGTGTGAGGATGAATTCATTGAGTGGATCTTCGATTTCGGATTCTAGACTTGCTTGGTTTTGATTTTCGAGTTTTATGGTATCGTCGGAAGATTCATGATGGTTTCCTGAATGGGAATTTGCTGTGATTGTGCTGCTATTATCCGGAGAAGAGCTCGATGGGATTACAGGAGTAATCTCAGCTGATGATTTTTTCTGCGATTGTTTGGCGAGTTGATGTTGCATTTGCATTTGCGTCTTTTTCTGATCTTGTTGTTTCCTCGACCCAAAACGAGAAAAAGGACAAGAGGCAGAAGGATCTGTAGATGTAGAAACAGGCAAAGAAGTGTAAATCTCCACCATCGAGTCTTGAGATTCGGTATGAATCAATCTATGACGATGTTGATATTTTCCCCAGTATCTACCAGATCCAGCTCCTGAATATGCATCGGTAAAGACATCGGATCCGTCGTGTCCCTCTGTATTATTGCGCTCGGCCTCATTGCCCTCATCGTCATCTTCATCATTGACTTTATCCATACAATCCTCTGCTCCCACAAATCTATTCCCATTCTCCTGTCCAGTAACTTTAGTAACCTCACCATCGCATTTGGAAAGATGCATACTATCCAACATCTCCTTACAAGATTGATGTATATATTTCCAGGTCTTCTGGTTGTGCTTCTTTGGGAGCATCTTTTCTCTTCCTCTACCATTTCTGCTCTTCACAATTCCCTGGTTCTCATCCCCTGTGCCTCTCATATTTCCGACTGCAACTCCCTCATTCTCATTTTTATAAGTTCCCTTCATCCGCTCATTGCCAAGTCTTCCATTCCCACCCCCATAACCAAACAACATACCCCCAGCCAATGCCTCCCGAGAAGGCGATTCTATTGGTGATGTATCCGGACCCATAAACCGCCCCTCTACTCTCGAGATAAGATACTCCGCATGTTGTGTGGATGGTCCTGAGAGCGGATTTGCATCTGTATCACCCATAGCACTATAAAGCAAGGGCTTCGCTGGTTTGCCGTTAGGACTGGATAATTTGGGGATAGGGATTGCTGCTGCGACGTCATTCGTCTGGTTTGAGTAATTGGAGTAGTTAGTATGATCGCCATGATGAATATAATTATGATATTCATCTCTCCCAAACGCAGCCCAAACCTCTTCATCAGCGCTCACAACAGATGAACTTTTCTTCGAATGAAGATTTAAATTCTTCAGGGGAAAATTCGTCGCAAGACCAATGTTGAGATTGGAGAGAAAAGATTTGCTTTGCGAGGTATTCCATAAATTGCGCATTTTGGAGGTGAGATTCAAGGAGGGAGTGGTTGGTGCGGTGCGGATGGGACTGCTGGGGGCGCTGGAGTAAGAGCGTGAGGATGGTGAGGATTGGGCGGAGGATGATGAGGAGAATGATTGGGGTGGTGGATTGTGGATTTTAGAATTGGAGTTTGTTTTTGATGGTTTGGGTCTTGGTGTTGGGGATGTTGGATACAATGGTTCTGAAATATCTTTCAGCCCGAAAGGAATCCGCGGATTTTGTCGTGGGGTTTCTGGATTTGCCATGATGTGGTTGAGAGGTGGTATTTTGGAAGATGTTGATTGTTGTGAATATATGTAGGTAGGTAGGTAGGTAGATAAGTTGTATTTCCTTTATCAATCCGTCGAATGATGTTTTAGATTCTCGATATATGTATATCAAGATATCTAGAAGTTTCTCAAGAGTGTTGAAGTCGTGAGATGTTCTCTTTGCTAGACAGATGATCTTGAATATGAAGATGAAGATGAGTAGATTTAGAATGAAATTCCAAATCAGAATATGTTTTCCCGCACAACGTTAACTAAGAAACTTATATACTTTCCTTTCCCCAAACAAAACAAAACACTATCTTTCCTACGGCCGTACGGTTAAAGTGTATGAAAACCTTAAGAGCAACCGTATATATCTATACAAAACCATGAAAGAGAGAACCGATCATATCCGTGAATCCGCTAGTCTAGTGTTGTTATTGTACAGTAGACTTTTCGATAATCGTGTTTATCTATATCTCGATGTATAAGATATAGATGATTAATAACCAGAACAGCCGTACAGTGATTGGAGTTGCGGCTGGCTTACTTACTACGGCGTGCCAATTGTTCTAGATGAAATTGAGGTATTATAGAAAGGAGAGGGGTGATATGAGAGCGCATTTGTATATCTTGATACAGCATGGCGACGTACCTAAGTAGGTGATTGTGGGAATATATCAGTGAATAATAACAAAAATAGTAACTAATGCAACCTTAACACAGCAATGCAGTGATTGGAAACAAGCCGCGGTTTATTCGCTTGCTACAGCAGCTATGCCGACTTCAATGCAATCCCAATCATCCCAATCATTCCAATCACTCCAATCACTCCAGACGAAAGTACAGCTAAAGAGTGAATAGATTCAAAAGGACTCATACATAAATTTTAAAACAGTATAATTAACATACTTACAGCAACACAACGATGAATAATATTGATAACAAAAACAACAACTAATAAAAAACACAGTCATACAGCAACTAGAGAACAAGTTTTCGTTTACTCGCTCGCTACAGCACACCAATACCAATCTCAGTGCAAGTTCAACACAATCCCCATCACTCCAGATGGAAATAGAACAAAAAATGGATTTGTGTAAATCAATCTATATATCTTGATGCAATATAGATGATACACCTATAGAAATGTATTAGTGAATAACAATTATAACTATAACAAAAAAATCAATACAACAAAGATCTACTCATATAGTGATCGAAGGAAAAGCATTATAAAGTTTACTCGCTTGCTGTAGTGCCTTCACTAGTCTCAACACTCATTTCAATCTCAATTACAATCTCATCAATCTCAATCTCACCACTTCTCCGATCCCTTCGGAATCCAGGCAAACAAAAATATCGCCAAAAAGAATGAATAGATCCATCCATCCAAACAAATTTACTCATAGATCTCGAACCAGTACCGATGAAGTAATGACAAAAGTACGTATGTGTGAATTGTATGATTGTGAATTATATACAGTGAATGAAAGGATGAATAAATGAATGATTCATTACCACTAGGCTCGTATACCTACCTACCTAGGTACAAAATACAACAATACGTAGCAAAGCTACCTAAGCTAAGCGAAGCGGAGTCAATTTTCTTTTTGTGAAACGTAAAAATCTCATGAGAATCCCAAACATAAGCAAACCCACGGTTCAAGGGTCTCTCAGGGATCCCCTTTTACACTTTAGATATATATAAATAAGTCGTACGATTAATTACTCATTAACTAATCAAATTATCAAATCATTCATTTCGTAAAATTAATGATCGAAAATAATATAGTTCATTAGCATGTAGACTATATCATTATATTGACTACTTCAAAAATGTAAAGTTTTTTTGATAATCAGATTTTTACAAACTAATAATTATTTTCAAAAGAAAAATTATATTAAATAATAAGAAAATAATAGTCACATTTTAAAAATCTATTTTAGAATTTAATATTTATATTATATTGAAAAAAAATTATTATAATTTCTGTTATAAAAAAATTAATTCTTTAATAATTGTTATAATAATTCAGATTTTTAAGCAAATTAAATTTTATAATATTGATATAATTAGAATTTACATATCAGATTTTCATAAAATTTTATTAGTAGATAAAGAAAGTATATAGTTATATATGGATAAATTTTATATGTAAAATAGACTAGTCGATATGATGATATGACCTACATGCTAATGAACTACGTTATGTTTTAATGTTTAAAATAAGCGAGCATATTACTATATCTTCAATTCCAGTTATCAAAAGTGCTCATATTATCTAGATAGACATACTAGAGTATCTCTTAAAAACGCTTATTCGTTAGATTAGAATGTGGGATATAATATGATATCACAAATCACAAATGAAATATCCTACATACACGTCAAGCTATACCGGGAGTTGAAAGAAAATATACAGAATACAGATTATAATATTATAAGCGATCGATAAGTCAACTACCCCACTTTCCGACCACCCCCTGTTTCCGACCACCTAAAAAATTCATATTATCTACACTTAAAACTTTAATAACTCAATAACTATTGAACTTCAATGAAATCGCCTGTAGAATCACTTTCTATAGCACTAGAGCTATCATCTACCTCATCTTCACGATCTCCAGCTTCAATTTGTGTACGCCTTATAGCTCTAATCCCTGCGAACTTCGAATTTGGAGATACCACAACCTTTCGCCTTTTTCTAGGTAATGCTTCATCTAATTGATATTCTAGCTTTCTAATCTTATTCTCTGCCTCTAAGAGTTCATAATCCTTAGCATCGAATCCTTTTATAATCTTGCGAAATAGTAATCTTCGTGTTGGCAAATCGATCTCCTTCTCTTGAATCATTATATCTCTATATTTTCTGATATCGGCTCCTTTTTGAGGGGTTTTCCATTGAATAAACGATGAATATATATTTCATTGAAGAATAGGATCATCATCAGATTCAGGATTAAGTGATAAAACCTCTCTATTGCTATTTTCAAGCAAAAGTCGACTCATAAGAGGTTTAGCCATATTTTTGGGCCAAAGACCACTAGCTTGCCACCCAGACTTGATATTTTGAATAGTTAAACCTTCTATTCTAGCCTTCTGATAGCAAGAAAGGAAATTGCGCTTTTCAATTGGTGAGGAATCGGATAATAGACTTAATTTATTAAGTTCGATTCGATATGCACTTTTTAGGGGTGAGAACACAGATAAATCGAGTGGTTGTAGTACGTGTGACGTATGTGGTGGGAGAAGTAAGAGATATATGTTGTTATTAAAGCATTCTAACATAAATGCTGTAGTTTCATGGCTTCCGTGTCCGTCCAAAATGAGGAGTCTTGAATTTTCCGGCTGAATAGGGGTAGTTTGAGGGATATAGATCTTTTTCAGCCATTCTAAAGCTGTAGCATCTGTAGTCCATCCATTTTCTGTAGCGGTAAAGTTCCAACCCTTGAATAGAGTCAAATCTGTTGGAAACCATTGTTGTTGAACTGATTTTCCCTTATATATTACAAGGGGAGTAATGCTTTTTCCATTGGCTGAAATGCATTCTATAAAAGAGGTCCAAATTCGAGATCCAGGTTGCTTTTTTTGAATAAATCTTCGATCAGTGCTTCCTACTACTAGTCCATTAAGACCCTGACCCTCCATTATACCTGCTTCATCCATATTCCATCTGTTGGCCGGCTTAATAGCCTTGATTTCAGGGATTGCGAGGTTCCGGAACCACTTCTTAATAATATCAGATGTAGCACCTGAAACTCGTGCAGAATCGATTTGATGTTGCTTCTTAGTTCCAATATTAGGATGCCTTCGAAAAAAGCTATGTATCCATTTCTTTCCAAGTGAGGGATCCTCCCCTCGTACAATAAGGAGGTGCTCTGCCATCTCTCTGATTTGACGATGTGTAGGGCTAGTACCAAGAGCTTCCTGTACTAATATCCATTCTGCTAGTCGATTCTCCTGAATTGGAGATAACTTTTGAAGTATTTGGGCGCCTTTTTGATGCGAAACTCCACCATATATTCGATCGTGAAGTGTGGTACGTGGAACACCATAATCCAAGCTAGCTCTTCGTATGCTTGCTCCATTTGTAATCGCTCTAAGAGCCTCTGCGATATCTTCTTCGGTATATCTATTCTTCATATCACAATTATAATAATATCAAAATTTCAAATCAATTGATTAAAGCATTGTTGAGTTATTCAAAGTATAAATTTTATAATTACTCAAAGCGGTGTGGTTTTTGAGGTGGTCGAAAAGAGGGGGTGGTCGGAAAGTGGGGTAGTTGACTTATGTATTAGTTTATGTTTGTCTCTGGAGTACCTACCTAGGAAAAGTTGTTGAAGAGGTTGATGAAATTTGATTCGATTCCGAGTCCTGAATTAGGGAAGGAGGTTTTGGGAATATTGGGTTGTTGGTTATTGATTACGCGAGAGTATCGTATCAAACGCTTTTCAAAGATTAATATTCAACACTGTGATGGAGTGGGAAACAAAGAGGCGAAAAATAGTACTCACTCGCTCGGTATTTCAATGATTGGATTATAAATTCTCTATGTATATGTTCTGTGGAAATATGAATATCAAACACTTTTTAACGTTTGGTAAACAATGATATCAGCATCAGACAATGAATGGATTTTGCTCACTATAAAAAAAATATACCACCTCCTCTCAAATCAATCTATCCTCCACCACATTTTCCCCCACACCTCCCCACCTTCTCCCAATGCACCAAATGACCCCTCACCCTCCTCACCCACCCCGCATAAACTATCATACTCCCACCCACCGCCATCAAACTCACCAGGACCACCCACCTAAATTGATCTTGTCTCGACCAAATAATCGCCATCACATAATTTCCCAATTCAAATAGTGCTACGAGGGAGTATTCGCAGCCGGCAAAGGAGGAGCGCTGAGTAGGTACACTGAGGGTTTGGCTTAGTTGTTGACTGGTAAGATCGAAGATCCAGAGACCGAGACGGGAGAGAGAGAGCGTAGCGAAAAGGAAGAGAGCGAGAATGGGAGAATTGGGGGCGAGGGGAGGAATGATGCGGGAGAGAAGGGGAGTGCTGGGGATAGAGGTGGAAGTGGAGAGGATCCAGAGGATAAGAGTTACGGGAATCTAGTATTTGTTTATTATGTGGATGTGTATAAATAATCATGAGAGGATGAATACATACGAGATTGATGAATTGCCATGTAAGACCCCAAAGACCTAATCGTTCCAATCCAGTAGTGATTCTTCCCGATTCATCGATTTCGCCTTCTCCCTGTAATAAACCTTCATCCGAATCATTAGATCCGTGTAAACGATCATATGGACCATGTCCGTGGGCCTTTGAAAGTTGTCGAACTCCAAAGGGTGTTACGACCGTGCTACTAATTTCCACCACACTTCCCGCTGTTCGACCAAGTGTAATAAGATCCAACGAAAATCCCGCATTGAGCAAAAAAGTGATAAACGTGGCACCGTACGAAAGTGCAGAAAAATGGAGTACAGAGAGCGACATTGAAGGAATCCAAACTTTGGACGAAAAATAATTCCTAAAGTCTTCCTTGTGCAAACGAAGTCCTCGCATGAATTTCTCCCTCACACTTAGCACCTCGACATCCGATAATACTTCATCATTTCTAGCCTCTTTCTTTTGTTGTAATCGAGTGTTAGATTTCCATACTCTCCTCGCAGACCACATTTCCAATCCCCAACTCGCAGCACTCATCCCACCTACAACAACCACCCCAATTTTGATTTCCAGTCTCGAGATTAGGAGTGAGACTAATATAGGTGCGAGGAGTTTACAACTCAAATCGATCCTTCTCATCGAAGAATTTAAATGCGTAAGATCATATTGATTCCCTTCTGGTGCTGCAGCAACAACCACCCAATCTCTTTCCATTGATAGCATATTTCCATTCGCGCTTAATCCTTCCAAAATACCAAATCCAAGAATTGGTATAAACAAAACAAATTTCATGGTATCTCTGAATGTAACATCGGCTTTCCTAGACTGAAGTAAAGGTATACCATTTTCAGGATTGTTCTCCGATTCAACCACAAAAAGCCATAATATTGAAGCGCAAATCACTGCAATCCTATTGATCGTAATCGTGGTCAAAAGAGTCTTCAGTCGGTCTGGACTCTTATCAACCCATCTCCCTACACTCGAGGAGAGACAGATAGATGCTAAAGTCCTCACAATACCACTGTTGAAATCCAATTCACTTCAATCAGTATTTGCTCATCACGTGATATATATCATATCATCTCCTTTTTCCACATCCCAATCGTGCGAGGAGGTGATAACATACCGAATAGAAGCAGCAACCAATGTGTCAGGCCATGCATTTGCCGTGAAGATAATCTATCAGAAAATTCATTAGTATCGTCCATAAATCCAGACTCTTCATCAAACTTACAGCCGCGAATTCATAACTCCTTCCGTTCCAGGTGGATAAAAAATGACTCAGATAAAGAGCCCAAGCTTGTGTTTTATTCAAGTTCATTTCCTTCTGCATCATTTCTTGCTCGGCCCCATTCGATATCAAAGCGTCTTCCTCATCTCCATCGTCCCCATTTTCATCATCTGAGACTGAATCCGAAGCCGAATCTAGATGCAAATCCGAATCCAAATTCTGCGCACGCGAAGCTATCTGAACCCCTCCAGTTCTATTTTCATCCATCGCTTCGTCGTTGGTTGGACAAGGCTCTCCAACTATAGCCATATCTAGGGTTGGGGGTTTGTAAGGGTAAAGTATTAAACACTCGTTATTGAAATGTAGTATATCATATCAATCACCTACTGATTTGTTTTGGATATCAGAGTGAACAAGGTAAATAGTTTTGAAGTTATTTCGAGGATGGAAGCGCGAATTTGATGAGATTAATTATTTCTCAACATGTTACCAAATGGGTATTCACGTGACTATGTAGAGAAATTATTCCCAATTCGGGAGATCAAATTGGAAAATATGACTCTTTCACAAAATCTAGACTTTGATCCTATCTTTAATTATTCTGACGATCTATTGGTAGATAATACACGTGAATAACCTTAACATAATATTTCTTGCCAATGAAAAGTTGATAATATGACAATATATATCTCTGTACCTCATCATGCGTAAAACTATGTTATCTGCTCATTCCTACTCATATCCTCTCTCTCAACGACTCAGCCTCACTCTATTGTATAAGAGAACAGACACGAAGCGAGATAATTAACATTGAGTGTCTTTTCGGTGTTCTCGGGTGCTGTTACTCTTAGGTATTGGTTTCTGGGGTTCTAGACCTCGTTCTTCTTGTGCTTTTGTGAAAGTAAAGTATGAGAGAAGAACACTCCGAGCCAATTCCAATATCAAAGCTTCTTCTCCGGACTCTTCGTCCTTATACTCGGTCCATAAGGTCTCCATATTCGTATCATTCCCTTTCCCTTTCCCTCTATAATCAATATCCCAATCCAACCCAATCCAATCCCTTTCCCTCTCTCCTCCGTGCCATTCCCCATCCATCCATCCCTTCATCCATCTATCCCTCCATGCCTCTCCCGCACAATCCCAAGTTCCCAATATCCGAGCACCGACTCTTCTCTCCCATCTGAATCCAGTCGTATATTGTACATACCCCTCTCTACTACTATTTTAAGAATTCTTGTTCCGAGTACTCCGCACGAGATCCATCAATATCCATATCAATATCAATAAACGTAGAAATAAAATGAGCCCTTCGATAAGTAGGTATCTAAGCACACACAAATCAAGGTGCGCTCGGTGCGATAACAAGTCAAGCCAAGAGCAACTACCATTATAAGGTTATGGTGCTGAGCCTCCCTCCCTACTCCTTCCGAGGAACCGAAGCGAACACTGGATTGAATTGAATTTGCGACGTACGACACATGTAGAAAAACCCTTCGTTTGTGTGTTTTAATTGTGTTTCCCCTACCCTCTCGTATATAATTTCCGATTCAAAACATAACTAAGTGATAATCTAAACACCCCTCACTCCATACAAACCCTTAATAAATTTCAATCTCTCAATCTCTCAATCACCCATCTCCAATCCCTTCTCAAAATCTTCTCAAAATCTCAGCCCACATACCTAAGCTTAGCTCGAGATATCATTTCATATACTCCCGAGTCTACTCTGCATTCTATATCTCATCCGTTTGTAATCGATTTTCCATCAAATTCTTCCCTCTATATATTGCCTAGACTCTTATATAAGTAAACAAACTTTATAAATCCTATAAATCCCTAAACAATCTTGGGAAACTTGATATCTCTTTTACATATATCTGCTTCATACATCTCATGATTTATTCATTCGTACTTATATAGGTATGCAGGTATATAATACAATCTCTCACAATCTCTCCTATACTAAATACTCAACACCCCTCTATCAAACACCCAAACACCCTCTACCAAACACCCCTCTACCACCCATCTCCGCCCTTCGCCTTCCATTCCATTCCTCATTCTCCACATCAGTAACTATAACGAACCAGCATCTCTCAATTCCTCGCATCAACTACCTACCCAATACAACACTCACACTCTAGATAGCGATTCTTTCCTCTTTCCCATTTCCCATCTTTATCTTCTCTCTGCTCTTTCCCTCTGTACCTTTCCAGTAATTCATGTGTGTGTAATTTATACATAATGTAATGTAATATACTCGGCAAAATAATTGAAGATGTATAACGTGGTTTATCATCGAGTGAGCTACTTTAAATATATATAGAATTTGTCTATACGTAATCATATACTTTCTTCATTTAATAATATATTTTTTAAAATTGAAAAATTATAAAATTATAAAATTTAATTATATAAATATTACAATTTTCATATTATTTATTAAGAATTTAAATTTATATAGTAATTATTATAGAAATAGTTTTTTTGTAATCAAAATCGTAACAATTTTCACTTTCATAAAATATAATAGAAATTTTCATTTAAAAACTAAATATTTTCATAAGATATTTTTTCTTGTTGATAAATATTTTTTCCTTTTTAAAAAATATTAATTGATTATTGTAATTCAAATATTAGAAAAAGATTAATTTTAGTATATTTTGAAGTAGTCCACTCAATGTTATAATCTACTCGATGATAAACCATGTTACTATAAATTAAAAACAATTATAACTTTAATAATTTTTGATAAAATAAGGTAGAATTGATATATATAATTAATTAATATAATAATTATATTAAATTCAAGTTTCTAAAGATTTAAAAGTGAAATAATTAAAATAAAAGTAAATGAAATTGTTAAATTGATTCGAAAAGTGCTTATTTTTTAATACCTTTTCAATCTTGAATAATTAAATCGATTTAATACTTATAATATTAAAAGTTTAATGTATTATTAAATAAAAGTTTAATCTTTAAATAAATATATTTTTATAAAGATTTATTTATGATTAAGAAAGTTACTTATATTTAGAATAAAAAAAGTGTTAGATTTATTACTTTTAAAAAAAATTCATTTATTTTCACTAAATATCTTTTTCAATTTTAAATAACTTTTTGTAAATAAGAAATAATAGAAAATACTGTTATTTTTAAATTATATTATATTTAATTTTAAGTACAATTTAAATGTTCAATAATATATAATAATGAAAAGTTGATAAAGATATACAGAATTTAAAAGATAATATTAAATTATACTTCTTTTTATTAACTCATTTACTTTAATATATTATTTCTTTCATTTTTAATTCAAACTTTATAAAACTCTCTCTTCATATACGTAAAATATAAAAGAATTGTTGTATCAAGTTTTATATAATTTAATTAGAACTTATAGAAGCTATGGCTAATTCTAATATATACTATACATCTTTAATTATTTTGCCGAGTAATATAATATAAATCGAATATCCTACTTTCTAATCACTCCTCTTTGAGACTACTCTTTTACATTTAAAATCGTTTTTTTAACTTATCAACATCTTTTTTATTTATAGATAGGATTTATTGGAAACTTATATGTATATAATTTAAATCAATTTAAACTTATTGTTACGGGAGCTGCCTCTAGGGTCACGTGGAAGTGTCTAGAGATCTCTCGAGGTGGTTTAGACTAGACTTCAAGTAGGAATTCAATAAGGTTGGTAACTGGTTGCAATTCTCGTAACTATAGTAATGAAACTAATGATTGTTCTTGAGCACGAAGCTCTACATTGTAATGAAATCTGTTCTCTTATATAGACCTTCCTGCTCTGCAGAACCTACAGTTCTGTCTTGTCTGGATCCTCTGGATCCTATGGATCTAGATGTTTATTCTTCGATCCCCTAGATCCTCTAGGTCCATCACGTGACTTCCTGACCATGTGACGCGGTATATTGGATGCCGTCGTAACACTTATTCTAAAAGTTCAAATTCTTAGGATTTTTTTTAAATGAAGATTTGAAGCTTTAAAATATAGATTTTTTGATTTATATAAGAATTATATATAAATTTGAAATCAATTTTAAAGTTTTAATAAACTTTCAATCATAATTAATGAAAAGAAATTAATTACTTTTTTGAAGGTTTTGAGCTTGAATTTATATAGAAAATTGAAAAACAATTAATAATAATAAAATATTTATAAAGATATAACTTAGATAAAGTAAAATAATTTCTATAATTTCGAAAGTACTTTTATAAATACTTATTAATTAGAATTTTTCCAAGTGTTTTTTCAAATCTTTAGTATTATAAATAATAAATTTTTTTATTCATTTTTAGTAATATTTATTAAAAGTTATTAAGGATTTATTTAAAAAAAAAAGTAAAATTTACAAGTAAATCTCATGTAAATTAAAAAATCGGTATTTTAAAGCTTCAGATCTCTACATAGAAAAATCCTAAAAATCTGAAATTTTCAGTGTAAATTTGAAATGATCTGAATTATATATATATATATGAATTTTCAATAAATTCTATTTATAAATAAAAAAGTTTTTTGGTTAATTTTGCTGGTGAAAGGTGGCTCAAAGAGGGGTGGTCAGAAAGTAGAGCAAATAAAATAATTCACATTCGATTCACTACATGGTCCCTGATGAACTTAATAAATAATAATACATCAAATAAAAAGAGAGGGAGAGATGGGAGGAGAGGTCTACTGTCAATTGGTCGGTAGGTAGTCATCAGTCATCAGTCGGTTGGTCGATTGGTCGGGATTAATCATCACTCACAGGAATAGCAGTTGTAATTACAATTGTAATTGTGATTGTTTTTAGAGAAAAATCGAGTTTCTTCATATTGATATTGATATGGATATTTTGTGTGGAATTGATGATAAGTAGGGACTGGGGGTTCGGGATTGGATATTGGAGATTGGATGGATCTTAGATGTTCGATATCGAATGCTGATATCTACCTCATTAGAGGGGTAACCCAACACCTAAATACATATCGAAAGATAGATAGATACTAGAACAAGATCTTGAGAATAATTGTATTGTATTTTCTTATGTTTTTTCATATTGTATTGTATTGTTTTCTATTCAATAGCAACCATCCATCCCTCCATCAATTTTCATGAAATGAAGCAAGAAAAGACTACCAGACAACCATATTACAATGTAAATATCTCCGCCCCTCAAAAAAAAAAACATCAACGACCAAGAGTCTCCAACCACCAATTTTGTAAATATATAGAGCTGAGAGAAATCGATCGTGAGAAACAAATCCATCCAACCATTTCTGCATCCAGCATGGAAAC